TGGATTTGCTGTGTATGGAGGGAATCTACACAGTGACATCCATTCAATTTTAAATTCAATTCAATTTTTTTTTATAGAGTGCCAAATCACAGTAACAGTCACCTCAAGGTGCTTTATATTGTAAGGTATACTTACAAAGAAAAACCCAACAATCAAATGACCCCCTATGAGCAAGCACTTTGGCGACAGTGAGAAGGAAAAACTCCCTTTTAACAGGAAGAAACCTCCAGCAGAACCAGGCTCAGAGAGGGGCGGCCATTTGCTGCGACCGGTTGGGGAGGGGGAAGGAAAACTGGATAAAGACATTCTGTGGAAGAGAGCCAGAGGTTAACAACAAGTACAATTCAGTGCAGAGAGGTCTATTAACACATAGTGGGTGAAGAAGAAACACCCAGTGCATCATGGGAATCCCCCAGCAGCCTACGCCTAATGCTGGACATACAATGTGCGATTTTTTGGCCCATTTTGAGCCGATTTTTCAGTCGTGCGACCGTTTTGGGGATCGACCCGAGTTTGGCCTTAATCGTGTGTCGTACATCGTATACGTGGGGTAACGAGAAGTGATTAACACCTCACGACCAGCTCCCGATCATCAGTCGTTTGGTCGTAAGAAAATCAAACCTGTTTGAAATCCTGTCGGCCATCGTGAGGGTGTCAACGCAGCGTCTCACACTGCGCACGCGCAAACACAGAGATGAAAGCGAAAAGACAGAACAGCACGGCAGTGCAGCGTGTGATCCGGACACAAGCGATGGAGGCACAACTTGTAGAACTGCCAAGCTCATCTGAGCCTTTTCGATGTGGCCTCACAAAATTATCGCGACCACAACAACCGTGAAAATAGTGTAAACTTTTGTGTTATAACCTTCATGCTATGGACGAACAGTGTGAGCACTCAGGTTGCACAGAGCAGCGGGCCGTATAGTATGAGACCCTGCATCGTGACCTACGAACTTCTAACCCCTACGAGTCAATCGGACAGTTTGAACAGGATCTGAATAACACGACTGAAAAAATTGCACAGTGTATGCCCAGCTTATTGCAGCAAAACCACGGGAGGATTCAGGGTCACCTGAGCAGGCCATCAGCCTACTAAAAGGATACAGAAAAATCCAGTTGAAATAGTGTTAGTTGTCATCACGGGTGCTGGTGGACTCATTTGAACACCTCCGAAATTTGCAAACGCGCAAGTATTCCTCTTCTTCCTCCAAATCCTCTCGGGACCTTTTCCTCGAGCCTCCAGTTTCATGGTTGTCAGGCTCTTCATGGGCATCTTCAAAAAGTTCATCACTACTGCTCTCAGAGTGATCATACACAATTGAGCTGGTCCCCGAATCAGAGTTTGCGAGCCTGGATTTTTTGCTATTAGGCTTTTCTTCATCTCCATCTTCCTTTCTGGATCTTTTTGTGGATCCAACAGGCAGCGGTACCTCATCAGCAATATTACCAAGATGAGGACAGCCCTCGCTATCAGTGTCACAGGCAGAGATAGAGTCAGAGTCATCATCAGAAAACTCCTCGCTCCATCTGATTCTTTTGTTTGGCTCCACATCTTTCACATCCATCTCTCTAGAACTCTTCCTGGATACACCTGGCTGAGGATCCTCTGGGATGTACGGGTGAACATCCTCACAGTCTTCAAATGCCTCATCAGAATCGTCATTTTCAATGCCGACGACAACAACAGCGTTATGATCATCATGCAGTTCATTGTTGTCAGCATTGGCATTATTGTCTCTCACATTAATATTGTGATTGTTTACATTGTTGACATTGCCGTCATTGACATTGTGAAAGTCAATATATAAGACATCATATCGATCCTCTAATTCATCTAGTAGCTCAGTCAGCCTCCAAAAAAAGATATCATAGAGAGTAACATAAAGTCTTTCCAGTAAACCCCAGAATCCACCAACAGGTTCATAAGCTGGCTCCTGATCTCCTCTTGGAAACATTTCTGGGTTAACCTGTCGGCCTGCAAGATCATTTTATCTTTTAATTAGCATTCATAAATATCTGCTGAAAATCAGTTTTTCAAAAATTTTACGACTGAGTACATGTGCTTACCATTACGGTTATTTTGTGATCCATCTCCGCTTCCATTCATTTTGACTACAAGGAACAGAAAACAACAATGATCACTAAACAACTCAGAATGTTCAGCGAATTTGCTTTTTTTGTGATAACTTTAGGCTACGTCCACACGTACATTTTTGTAAACGGAAATTTTCCTTTTTCGTTTAAAAAAAATTCCCGTCCACATGTGCAGTTTTGAAAAAATATCTCCTTCCACATGTAAACCCTAAAAACAAAGTCAGGAACATGCCAAATCCTAACCGTGTAGAAATGTTGGCGAGGAAAACCTCACAAAACCTTACGTACTTCTGAAAGGTTTTTGTCTTTTTCTGGAAAGGCAGCTAATGTTGTGTTACTTTCAAGTGCCTTCATCATTTCAAATGTTAATAACTAAAGACAGCATTTTAGCTGGTATAGACTCACAACTTTGGAATGGACAAAATGCATATAGCATACATGAATGTAAATTTTTTAAATTACATTTATTGCAAACCGACGTCAGGATTTGTGTTGTGAGAGCATCTGTGTTGAATGATGCTCACTCTGATGCCTCTGTCTTTCTAAATGGAGGGACAGTAACTGTGTGTGTTCATGTAAGCATGTAAAAACGGCAGATACTAAGATTAACAGCAGAGCTTCTGTCACTCTAAGATATGATTAAGAACATTTTCTAATTTATGTATAATTTGTCAAATATTACAACAGCTGACAAATTGTTAAGTCTTCATTTGTTTTCCTGAATAATAGATCCACATCATCCTCTCTATGATTGTAAGTTGTATGCACAGATTTTGATATCTTTTATATGGAGACAAAAAATACTTAAGACAGAAGTGAATCTTAAAAACTAAAGCAGTCAATGTGTGTTTTTTTATTTTATTCTAATAGTTACTGTAAAGTTCTACTCTAAGAGATTCATCTTGGCCTTTATGCAGGATTAAAGCTCAATAATGAGGACACACACAAAATATAATACATTTCTTTATGATTGTTAGGCAAAAACAAAGAGAACCCAAAGCTATCAAAACATATATCCACAGTCTTATTCTTGCTCTGCTCCCTAATTTTCCCCTGGAGGCATCATTATGGCAACAAAACAACATGCATTAAATGACGTTCCAAACAACAACAACCAAACTGTTTTCAGTGCTTAATATTTAACATGTCTTCATTATAAACTGTATTTGTGCAAATCAGTGATGTTGATGTGCACAAGCTGGGATTCAGACTTCGGAGGGTTAATCCAAAAATTAGGTTTTATGGCAGCTTTGATGGATGAATTGATGGATGGACGGTGCATAGCAGTCAGTTTTACAAATGTAACAAAGGAAAATACGACATTTAAAATGACAACAAAATTCCACATTATATCTAAATGACCATAAAGTTTATTGTGATAAACTGTGTAATACAAGCATGTAGTTGATGCAGTAACTGAGGACACAATGTTACTAAAACAGTATAATCTCACACATTGTCTGTGACATACAGTGGAGCAAATGAGTATAAATACCAGCACCTTTTCCCTCAGTCAACCATCACAAAGGAGCTGACAAGAGTCAACGAGAGAGTCAAAGGATCTGACCACCTTAAACCACTCAAACCTCCTGAAGATGAAGACGTTCAGCGTTGCAGTTGCAGTGGCCGTTGCACTCATGTGTATTTGCATTCAGCAGAGCTCTGCCACATTTGCTGAGGTTACAGACTGTGTTAAATTCATGTAATGTGCTTCTTCTGCATGAATTTGTTGTGAAGATGCTAAGATCTGTTTTCTTTCTCTACAGATACGAGAACTGCAAGAGCTACAAGAGGCTGTGAGCAATGACAGTCCAGCTGCTGAACATCAGGAGGTATCAGCTGACTCATGGGTGGTGAGTTTCATTCAATAAATGAATGAATGAAGACAGTAATTGTGAGATCTCTCAAATACAGGAAGATGTTTAAAATAGACTGTGCACTCACAGCTTTACATAAAATTAGAAACAATGAAGTGACTTGCAGCTGAAGATAAACTCTCTGCTCTTCTCCTCTTTCACACAGATGCCGTACCACAGACAGAAGCGTGGCATTAAGTGTCGCTTTTGCTGCGGCTGCTGCAATGCTGGTGTCTGTGGATTGTGCTGCAGATTCTGAGAATATCTACCTGCGATTATCACATCAACCACTAAATATAGAGTCTTATACATGAAATGATTTGACTGCTTAGCATTTGTTAAAGTCTGACAGTGTTTCTTCATCTGGTCGTCTTGCTGTATCAGTGAACAGTGTACCAAGCATTTGGAACAACAGTATGTTATTATATTAAAAAGTTCAGAGTCACTATACTATAACATGTGCTGTTTTTTTTTTCTGTTTCTGTCTGACAAGAATTAAACATTAATGGAAACCAGTGACATGAAGCTCCTGTTGTACAGGTTTTGTGCTGATATCAGTTAAGAGTTGTTGCCTCATACTCTTGCCCATGTCGTATGTGGTACAACCTGTTAATAGAGCCAAGCCATTGATAGCAAAAGTAAAGTGAGCATATTTTCCTATATTTGTAATTATATGAGTGGGGAGCATCTCATCATCATTCAGTTTTACCACTAATTATGACAAAAATGCAGTAATGTACAATAGCTTTGAGCTGATGGACTGGTTTGTTGGTTATTTGAAAGTTAAACCAAGCATACTTTTTTTTTAAGAATGTAGAAGTGTTAGATAATGTTTCCTAGAAACACTTTCTATACAAGTTCATTCATAAATGTTTTAGACAACCTTATGTTGACAACCTTTCACTGAATTTATTTGGAGGTGTTTTCACGGTGTGCATATGAAGTTTCTAAGCTGCATGATTAATGCAGGAATCCCTCACACAGAAGAAAAAGAGAGAATAGAAAGATTTGAGTACAGCAGAAATTTGATACTTGACATAATAATAAAAAACATCTCAACAATACTGAGAGACGTTGCACTGTGGTGAAACTGTAAAGTAGGTGTAACACTGTAATGCTGTTTCAGATAATATCCGTACTGTATGTGCGCTGCATTCATTCTGCAGAACATTTAAGCAAAAATATTTCACGACACTTCAAAAAAAGCTAGAGTAGCTGTATCATGTGGATGTAGCGTATCACAAACAGACTCAAAGCCAGTACAACCAAACGTGATCAAACGTCAGGCCAAGGTGGAACTGATTCCTATCTATTTAGGCGATACTTATTATTCTTAACATCTTAACAGATATTCTGACCCGTAACTATTGTAAAATGTTTCGGCCGGAAGTAGACACCTTTCTCACATGTGTAACCGGTTTCTGCGTCACCCCGCTGCAACAGTTCGGCCCAAACAGACTCCTCGACTCTGCGTTGTGTTGTGTTTTTAAGAAGACGAGTCTCTGATCGATCGTTGCCACATTATTTGCTGAATGGAAACAACGGTGTTTTATCAGTGCAAAGGCTCGCCACACACCACTCCAAACAGCACACTATGGCATGACATCCCATTAGCATTCTGCTTTAGCATACAGTTTTACACAATAATAAACAAATGAAAAGTACATAAAACGGGTGTTGGCACTCTGGTGGAGTTACTTTGTGTGTGTGTGTTTATAAGTAGTTTTAAACCTTGTGATCCACAAAACAGCATAAGAGTAAAAGAGTAAAAGAAGAACTGACTGCGTTACAGCACCCGCTGCTTGTTGAGAGTAGCGCTTTCACGTCTTTTTTAGCGACTTTTTTAAGAAAAAAAAGGGGTCTGAAAACTCGCTAAATATAGCGACAAAGTCGCTAAGTTGGCAACACTGAGAGGGGGCTCTGTTTCGCCATTACACTGACATTTGTGGCAAGTGGAATAATACCACATAAACACTGTTACACATGGTACCAATCGGGTTTCCGGTACGGATCGGGTAGTGACAATTGACTACAGTCAATGGTAGTGACACAGCCCATGAATGTGGACACCCCCTTTGTCTCACCTTAATTTATTTCCTGTTTTATTTTGATAGTCTATCATCTCGTGTGCCTTGTGTTGAGTTTAACTTCCCTTGTCTTGTTATTCTTGATTTGTTCCTGCTGTGTTTCCCACCTTACCTTTTGTATGCATTGCATCTCCTCTTGCCCTTTGTCGTGTCCTCTCCTCCTTTCCCTGTGTTTCATGACAGTTTGTTTTATATTTGGATGTTCTATATTCCTCTGAGTTATGGTGTTAAAAAACGCCACAGGGATAGCAGGCTGTAATCAAAGCTAAAGGTGGTATAATGCAGTCTTCTTATTTGTTGTTGTTTTTTAAAGTGTATTGTGCATAGTATTACACAACACTGCATAACCATTACATAACTGTGACATTTTCTGGACATGTTTGCTCAAACCCACGATGCAGACTTGGAATTGGGGGGTTTTGCCAACATGTTCTCAGAACTGACTTAAAATGCAATTTCAACTGCAAACAAAGGGCCTCAGCAGATTTCTGTGGTTATTCTTACACCACATAAAAAACAGCAAGACTTCCTGTATTTTGTTTTATGTTTACTTGTTTTCACCTCAGGCTTAAGACTTCCTTTTTAGATAAGACCAAATATTTTTTACATGAATATTTAAAACATTTTTCATGAAAGAGGGACCATAAAAACAATGGTGATAGAGAGAGGACACAACAGTTTCCTGTATTCAGCATTGAATGAATCTCTCTATTAAATGACTGACTGCTGGAGTCAAATCAAACTTAAAGCCAGCAGCAAACCAGCAGCTGTGAAGCCTCATGACTGACCTACAGACAAATGTGACAAAAGTTGTGTGTTCAATCTTGGTGGACTGAGCTGATATACGATCGCCTCTAGTCACCGTTTTGATGTTTAAGGAGTGGGCAATCTGTCCCCTATGGTGTTCCCAAACAAACTTCAGACAAGCAGACCTCTGGCCCACTTAGAGGACAAAGGGGAGATGGAGGAAGGGCTGGAGAGAGAAAAGAGGAAGACAAACAGAAAGGGAGAGTAAGCAATGGAGAACTGCTTTTAGGCGTAAACAATAACAATATAAAA